GTTCTATCGTGCCATCCCGTCTGTTTTGAGCGGTTCCGCCCTTGTCACACTCAATCTCAGCCGAAGTCAGTGGTTGAAAGATGAAAAAGGTGTGCAGGCCGTTCAGCACGAAGCACAAGGCCTTCGGCAAAATCAGACCTGGGATGATGCTTCGGTGGACACCATACAGAACTGGAAAGTATGGTCCAGAAACACAGGCATAAGGATTCACATTGCAGATTTGCTGACGCTGTGCGGCATAAAGCATTTTGAATTGGAGCCTTCTCAGTGGAAATACAAGGGCAGAATAGTATATAGGGGAGACAGAATTCGGGACACAGATGGCAACGTGGTCTTGTTCCAGGAGACCGCCACAAGTCCCACAGCCATCATTGCCTTGCAGATCACTCTATGGTTTGGGATGCTCCCAGATCACATCGTGACTTGTAGTGACGCTGTCCAAGCATTCTTGCAAAGCTGGTTGGACGAGGATGAGTACACACTTGTCCTCATGCCAAACGAACTCTGGTTGCCAAGTTGGAAAGCCAAGTTCGGAGAAGCGGCCAGGCTAGCAGTACGTCTGCAGAAGAGCTTGTACGGTCACCCAATGGCCGGAAAGTGGTGGCAGAATCATCTTTCTTCGTGTTTGGTCTCGTTAGGTGGAATTGAATTGCAGGAACACCCCAGCAATTTCATTTTTCGATGGAACCCAAGTGAACATGGAGGAGAGGTGAATCAAGAATTCGTCCTTTTACTTAACGTGTATGTGGATGACCTGACCCTTAGCGGTCATCGTTCGTGCCATTCATCATTTTGGAAAGTCTTAACTGCCAAGGTGAAACTAGAGCCGTTCCAAGAGGTTGATGTTTCAGGTCACTTAATTTTGGGTCGCAAACACTTCATCGAGAGGAGTCCATCGCATACTAAGGTCACATTTGACATGCGTACTTATGTGGATCAGGTGGTTGGGACATACTGCGAACTGACAGGGATCAGTCAACAGTCTCTCAAGAAGGTCACGACACCAAGCTTCCCTGAAAGCTCTATGACCGATCAGGAGCTGTCACAGACGGGTGAACTTAGTGGCTTGGCATCAAAAGTTCTCATGCGAGCGCTTTGGCTCTCACGGCTGGCAAGACCTGACATCAGCTTCATCGTTGGTCGTCTTACCACTATGGTGACCAGATGGTCGAGATTCGAGGACAGGCAATTGCACAGGTGCATTTGCTACCTTCATCACAGTCGGGACAAAGTCCTAGTCGGACATCTCGATCATGAGCATGAACATGAAATGTCAATAGAGGTTTACACAGATAGCGATTTTGCTGCTTGCCCTCATACCGCCAAGAGCACATCTGGCATTCTGATCGCCCTCAAAACAGGCCAATCGATGTATCCACTGCATTGGTGCAGCCGAAAACAGTCCAGCGTTGCAAGGAGCACGCCGGAAGCAGAACTCATAGCGATGTCGACGGCGATGTTCACCGAGGTGTTCAACGTTCAAACCATGTTGGAACACCTTATGCAGCGACAGGTGCCTGTAAACTATAGGCAGGACAACCAGGCTGTGGTGCAAATTTTGGGGACCGGATATTCCGCGAAATTGCGCCATGCACCACGGGTGCATCGAGTTAATGTGAGCTCTGTTCACGAGGTCCTCACTTCCGAACATGCCCATGCAGTTTGGTACACACAGACCACGGAGCAAATTGCAAATGGCCTAACGAAGGTGATCACTCCTGCCGAGTGGCCGGCCATGTTGAAGCAGCTGAGCATTTTCGACTTTTCTGTAAACTCTGAAACGTGAACTGGTATGTTTTCTTGGAATTGGCCATGCTCCGGCGTGATGCTTTGGTTCCGGGAATCTGACACATTGCATGTACAGAACGAGGGGGGAGTTGATGGAAAGCATGTATAGAGCATAGCATTCCTTGACGTCTTCTCATGCATCATGTGTCACTCATCATTTTGCCTACGCGACTTTGTATTTGGCTCAAGCACTGCGGAAAAAGGCGTTTGCGCGTGGTGCTTGCCGTTGCTACTAAACTACCAACTTTGGCTGTGGTTGGTGAGTTTAACTAAAACTGATTATTATTGTTTCACGTTTATAATTGACTCGCAAAATTGGTTATCAATTTTGGTGTCTGAATGTTGGCTAAAGTAAAGGTATATTGCAGAATCCTGGCAGGCCAAACAAGCTGATTACTATCGACTCATGGTTTGTTACTGCTAACTCAACATTACAGGCAAGTAAAGAAAACATGCACACACATATATCTATATATATATATACACCAGCACCTTCCAACGTCTCCTCTGGTGACTTTTGCAGGCTTAAAAGTGGCAGGTGGTGACCTGTTGGAAGGTGCTGGTATATATAAAATATGGCACTTTAAACAATATATATATATATACGCATTCCCTTGTCCAGAAGTATGCCATGGGAAAGGCAACATTTCATGATTAGATAGTCTGCGCCATGTATACAGTATACTGTACACGCATACAGATATATGTATATAATGTATAGCTGCTGCGTTACTCGGTGCACTTTACAATCACTTTACACGGACAGTGACGTGGCACTGTCCAATGCACCAAACCCGCAGTTTTTTTTGCCCCTATGTCACCATATATGTATCATAATCGACACGTGCCAAAATACCAAAGTTGTCCTCAGCACCCTCTGAAAGGCAAGCGTGCCAACCGGTGTTTGCCGATGTTTGCAGGGCCCTATATAGGTGACTAAAAATGGATTGAGCACCTAATTTTTTGGCGTCCGTTTTGCCAGTGGCTTCGATGTTTCCTTGGCTGACGAAAGGCGTTCGTGAATTGACGCGGGCGCAAAAACACATTGACTGTAAACTTCAAAACAGCTGGAGAGGACGGAGAAATAGTCAGAGGCAAACGGAAGGGTAGTGCACAGAAATAGTTTTTGCAAACACCTATTCTATTAACATCGTGGAAGGCGCGGGACATTCGTAGAACCCGGGGCTATTCGTGGACGTTTCGTGGAATGGTGGGCCAGTAGGAAAACTGACACTGCAACAAAATCCCAGAAAACTTCGTAGAACATCGTAGAAACGTATTTTTGATGCACTAACTTCGTATAAGCGATTTTGGCTGACCCCCTTTCTCCACACACCCTCGTTGAGCCTTCAGATAGGAATAATGCAGGCAAAGATTGTGGCAAATTCCCCGCCCCCCCCAAGAAACACTGCTTCAGGATACCACAAACCGTTGCCGTAAAGATTCCAACACAAACGCAAGAAGAAAGAGGACTTCCTGGGATTTCTTCGAAAGTCTTGGATGTTGGATCATGCGCATATTCTGTACATAGATGATGACACCATGAATGTTTGCACAAACCCATTGCCGCGCCATTATAGCTGCTTATTCAGTCCTTTAGTCCAATACAGCTGCAGCCTCAACTTCCTCATCGCCAGGGACCATCTTTTTCATGCGTTTTCCTAACTGGTAGTGCCATGTGGCACAGGCCCAGCAAAGAAGCTGCTTTCCTCGTGTCACTTGTCACCAGGCTGCTACTGGAGTTGTCCAGAAGGAAGACGCTCCCGTCAGAGTGCTCAGAATGTCCTTTGTTCTTCATTTGACAGAAAATGTTTGTTGCAGGTCGTGGCAGCAGCTCAAAGTTTCAAACCACAATCCACCCGGAAGGCAAAGGACGCGAACCATTTTTTTTAACCAAGTGATACACACCATCAGTGCAGGTTGCTCCCAGCACAAAGCCTGAGCCTCCCAAGATGGGCTTGCTTGGTTGGCTGGTGATGAGCTGAGACGAGCCGGAGCTGCTTGGAAACAAGGCAAGCAGAAAGCAGCTGAACCGGATAAGCGGCGCAAGGTCCCATTTGGTGGGCTTTTTCGGCGTGATGATGATGAGGCACCGCTTGGCGTACTGCAAGCCTGTCCTGTTCTTGTCGGTTTTGATTTTGCTTGGCCGTGAACACACGACAACAAAACACACCAGAGGACACACAGCTCCATTTGAAGGTCTCTAATTTTGGTCCAGCAGCCATCACGGTCGCAGGTTTAGGCACTTGGTGAGTGCACGTGTTTTTTGGATTGGCCTTGGTTCGTGAGGTCTTCAATGGGCATTTGCTTGACCATCTTAGAGGCTTAGAGGTTTCAAATAACGACATTAAAAGCTTCCATTGACAAGTGAAGGGAAACTCAAGTAAGACGCCTTCGCAAAACGCAATCACAGGCGCGAAAGTGGCACACAAGATTTTGCGGAAAAGCTCGCGAAAGTTTTTTTGGTGCTTTAGTTTTTTTTCGTGAAACACATTTTTGTAAGGGCATACCGTGTCTTTGACATCGCTGGACAGCGGACTCGCCCTAGCTAAGAAACATATGTCACTTGCAGAAGCTGCTAGGAGGACTGCCTGGAAGACTGTGAGGAGGCGATTCACTGGTCCATTACACACCTAGGCCTAGGACTGTAGCACCCTTGCTCCTAGTAGCAATGCCAGGAGCCCCTAGTAGCTTCTTGTTCCTTGGTCAATTTCAAAATCCAAACTTCAACTTCGTTGGCAATTTGTGTGCCATTTACTGATATTTACTGTACAGTATTTCATGCGCTTTTGTTGTCCGACTAGTATCGACTAGTGCTACGTGCGTGCACCAACCCGATGCAGAGCACTGCAAAGGAGAGCATTGTGGAGGACGATGAAACAGCGGCCGCCTCATGGATCACATTGCCCTTGGGTTCTGGTGTCGAACAAAACGTTTGGAAGTAGAAGTTGCTGAGGACGAGTTCCCAGCAAGTCCTCCGGTGGGCAGCTGAGATCAAACATGGTTCTTTTCTGGCTTGTGTTCATCAAATGTGGTGTGATCAGAGTCTATCAGGAGCTGAGGCTATTTGCAAGCTTTCACACAGGTAAGTGCACCAAAATGCCATGCAACTAACGACATATTGCACCAAGAGTGAGAGAAACATTATGAATTCAAATTCTGCTCAGTCACTTTCACAAGATACGCACATCTATAATATAGACAGAGAGAAACATCCCACAGCGTGATGCAGCGCATGTAGATGGAGCAGACAGATGCGCCCTGCTGTCCACAATGGCAGCGGCCCTGCGGGCCGCTGCTGACAAAGGCGACATCGCTGAGGTAAGCAGGCTCTTAGAGGCTCCGGAAAGCGATGGGAGACTTGCTCCTTGATGATCCTCTTTGCCTTGAGAACTCTGTTTTTCCCACCTAATTGATTATATGTTATTTGCATTCTTTCATGTTCTGCCGTACTCGTATTGGTACTGGTACTGAACGTAGACAAGATCCGGTGCTTGATCAGATTGTTGGTGCACGCCACTTGCTGGTCGGAACTGTAATGGCAATGCCCACGGATCAGTGTTTGTGAGTGTGCTAGGTGCAGGATGCTGCAACCCTTCGCAAGATCATCAATTCTCAGGCATCAAATACATCTCAATTCGTTGCAAATTGACTGGTCACTGGACCCAGTTGAGCGTTCCACTTTTGCTTTGAGTTGTTGATACGGGACAGAGTTCCAAAGTTTTTCAGCTGCTGTATGATTGCGCTTACAGTAGAGCTTATGGTTTCACACTGCAGGACTCCGAGACAGACTTGGCTCCCTTGACCTTGGCTGCAGCGGGTGGGCACCAGAATTGTGTGGCCGCGCTGTTGGCTGCCCGTGCCTTTGGGGCCTGAGAAAGCTTTCGTCCTTTGTTTACGGACACTTAACGGCCCCGTTGGGTACTTGTGGGTACTGGTACTTTGACGTTGACTATGTTTGTTTTCCATTGTTTTCCAATTGTTCGATGCACGTTAAACTCATGAAACTTAAACCCTTTTGAAGAATGTTGGTCATTTTAATATACTTTAAGTATATAACCTATTTTGATTTGTGTCCTCGAGTAATTATTGAGTTCCTTGTTCATCCTTGTTGTTTTCCTTTTTTCATACCAAACGGATCCTCGAAATGTATTTCAACACTTATTGCCACACAACAACCTTTGAAATGGTATAGCTGCTCCTTCTGTAGTTATATACTGCCACCTTTCCTTGATTAGTATGTTCCTCTATCTACTCTTCAGCATTCATACATACCCCCCCAAAAAAAACCATACATGCTTTTGCAGGCGCAGCTCCATGTAAGCAGGAAAAAGCCGCCCCGGGCTAACATAGCATGCGAACCTGGTTCACTTAGTGCCTATCCAGGAGTCCATGTTAGTGGATTGTGTGCTTGGCAGGTTCCATGTTAATGTAGTTTGGAGGGCGGGCATATGTGGGTGCAGATATGCACCGTACTCAGTATGAGTCACAATTACACTGGGTAAACCAAAGCAGCCAAACCAACACTTGAACATTTTGTATATATAGAATCTTTTACTAAGCTGCCACCAGAAATGATTTTTTGGCCTCGGAGAGGGATCTCCCACAAATGGCTTCCATCCTTCAAGATAAGCTACAATGAGGTAGAG